TTAATCAATGTAAGCAGTAAATGAATATTCTACACTAGGATGAAACCGTCGTCAAATACTTCCAATTTTTCCATGATGATCTAGCTTTATTGGACTCATGAACTCAAATATAGAATGTGAGTGCGCACTGTTGAAGAGTCCCATAATAAGACGAAACGGCCTTCCAGTGCTTCCAGGTTTCCAACGGTGGTCTAACACCAATCGATTCATGATCTCAATCAAAAACATAATAATCTCCACAACCCATATACTAAGAATGTGATATAATTGAATTCAACATAACTCTCTTGAGGGCAATAATAATGTTGAGCAGTTAAAAATATAGATAGACATTAGTTAAGTGATATTGATTATATAAACTTTATATTATCAGAATGGGTTTTATGGAGAGTTTTAGAAATTTCACAGGTTGAAATCATGAGTCAGTTGAAGCTAGACCACCATTGAAAACCTGGAAGCACTGGACGGCCGTTTCGTCCTGGTACGGGACCCCTCAGCAGTCCTGGGTTCGAGCCCCGCGTGGTGCGGGATCGTGGATGCGCACTGCTGAGGAGTCCCATACCAGGACGAAACGGCCGTCCACTGCTTCCAGGTTTTCAATGGTAGTCTAGCTTCAACTGACTCATGATTTCAACCTGTGGAACTTTATATTACTTATAACCAGTTTTAAAAGAATAGTAATTTATTAGTTCATTATTATTATTACTGAAATGACATCTCAGTAATAGATTAAATATTATATGTTTTAAAACCACATCCAAATGACCTGGTACGATCAAAGATGGAGAGATTCTGCTCTCCCTATCGAAATACTTTAACATGAACACGTGTACATAACCACTGTTAGGGAAGTCCTAATCACTGCCTTCTCGTGACGGAGGTGTTGTATACAAAGTTGAGAGGATGAAAAGCGAATATATGCCAGTTTAATCAGGTTGGTGGACACGGACGATTCACATATGAGGGTTTCAAAACCCTGATTCCAAACTAATAGTGAACATAGGCTCCAGGATCCTGAGAGAATAAAAGGCGTATGAACCAAGTGTTGGTCACCGGTCACAATGGGACTGTATCTTCTAATGTTGCTTCACTGTCTTGTGGATTAAACCTCTAGGTTAAAGGCTGGGGGTGTAACCCCTTATGAAAGTCACCTTCTTCGGTTTGGGCACCCGGTTAGAATCCAAGCCGTCACAGAAATCAAATGATTTCGAACTGTGAGTCCACAAAGTAAAATGTGTTGTAATCAACAAAATTAATTACACTCTTGTGAATTCTATAGTTATTATCTGTTAACCGGTTTATTCAATTTGTAAAATTGTATTAGTATTATTACAAGTTCAAGGATTTTTTTCATAGACGTTGGACTTTATGTTCTGAATAGCCTTGCCAGTTAACTATCAACTATCGTACTAGACAAAATAACCAGTCTCCATAGTTTCTATATTAGGGAATTGACATTTATAGTCTAATTATCCTACATAAAAATATCAGATACTGTACAAATATGAAAGAATAAACTTAATTAAGAGTAAGGTCCTTGGTTCGAATCCCGCGGGGCGGGATCATGGATACGCATTGTTAAGGAATCCCACAAGAGGATGAAACGACTATCCAGTACCTTCAGGTTTTCCATTGTGATCTAGTATCAGTTGACTGATGATCTCAACCATTAAATTACTATTATGTCCACAAAAGCCGCTTTCTGATATTAAGAAAAATAATTTTAAATTCATCATTATCATCCATGCATGTTATATTAACCAGAATATCAATATAATTGTAATAATAGCTGTTTATTTGGCTTCATAAACCATATCGATTCTAGTGACATATTGTAATCTACAAATGAAAGTAGGTAAGTGAGAATTTATGCTCAGCGATCATCGAATCCATGACATAAATATACTGTGATCCTCCATACAGCCAGCCTCCGGTACTACTTTCCCACAACAGAATGGGGATACAAAAGGTCAACCCTGAAAACCGAACGTCTCATTTTTTATAACCATCTTTCCCGTTGCTAACAGAGTTAAAACTACTCAAAAAAGGGCAGTGTATAGCCGGCCTTAAGTAGTTATTGTTTAGCTGTGAAGTCACAATCCAATTTAGTCTTCATGTTTATCAAGAAGTGCCCCCCCCCAGTTTGGACAGTCGTTCGTGCACCTTTAATAGCAATCAAACAAAGTTACTGTCTGATCTCATCATAACTTCCGAGCATCTTTTCTATTTTCACCAAGAGTCTCTGCCTACTTCCATGTCTTATTAGTGTTAACGATCTAAGTTCCCGAAATGCCATCCAATGTCCCTTGAGATCACGCTTGAAGCTCTGATACTGGAATATCCAACATCTAAATACCAGATCAAATAGAGCGACAATCATGATCAGCGAAACGTCTCATAGCACCAATCTGTATTGCATTTCCCAAGCACGTATACAGCAACCAAGTACGAACACTCAGTTGACTTTACCTCGATAATACTACAGATTAGGGTGATTAACGCAAAGAATACCTAAAATTTGACTGCTATCTCTCGTTTATTTAGGTATATAATTAAATAAATCCCTTAGATTTGCTAGAATGATCAAGTAGGTACTTCAGGAAAACAATAATTATGTCATGAAAGTATTCACTCCGAAATAGTTTGGTATGATATCCAAATATCTGAATAATAAGCAGTAATATTTACCTTTGACTTCAAAACGTTTACTGAATTGATAAATGCTCAGAAACATATGCTATCAGGATCAGAACATGATGAAGAACGAAAGTAGCTAAGACCGACAATTACACCTCTAAAGACTATCGATCTGGTGAAAGCTTATGGTGGACAATCAACCTTATGTTGTATTAGTCAGAGTTGTTTGTCACTATATTTATTTAGTATGGTGACGGATATTCTTTTAAAGATATAACTTTCAGACTAATCGGTGCTAACAAAATGTAGTCTTTTGACTATCTTGGTTAACAATTTCTACAAGTTTGTGACGTTTTTCTCCTTTTAAAACGAAATGTGCTTCAAAACTAATCGGTATCAACATATAGACTAATGGTAGAGAGTGAGGTAGTTAAGCATGGTGACTAATTCATCTGTTTTGGACGTCCCTTTATCATAAACGAACTACAATTACAGTTACTTGACGGTAATAATGTGATTTAACACCTACCAATACTATATATAAAAACGTTACAGAGACCAATAAAGTTATTTATTTCACAAAATCTCTAGCCTTCACCATGTTGACTACGTTTGGATATTGTATGCCTCCCATGAGCTCACTTGAACCAGGTTCCAAGTTGAGTATGACTAACTGCAAAAAAAGCAAGCTAACTTGACATGTTTCCAGAGTAGAGCAGATCGCAAGCAAGGAAGAACAAACTTTAACTGCACTCTGTGTAATTCGGCCGCAGAACTAGTCATGATCAACGCCCGATCTAATGACAGATAGCAGTTAATTCATGTACCATGGGTATCACGTAGCAACTAGGATTGTCACACGCTTAACACAACCCATCCTCACTCTTCAACAGATAATTATTTTAATATTCCAAGTCATTCTGTCAGTGATGTGTGCGCACAATCATACATGTCCAAATACCCACTTGTAGCATTCATGGCTATAAGCCACGTCATAGCTAGGGAGACCTGATACATTTACCTTTCCTGTTTCACTTCTCACCTTGCTTTGAATGAATCTTCTCAATATATTGTATTCGGATTCTTATTACTAATGTCGCCTAAACTGGATTAGCCTAAGAATAATATACGGAGTTAAGAGTAAAATTCTAATATTATGGTACATTGATCGTCACTCGTTATAGAGCCAGATCGAGCGCCTATAATCCCATCAGGCCTAGTAGATTCAAAGATTATTTGACCTTTGCCCAATTATGGCATAAACGAGATACACCCCAGCTGCAGGATGAATCTACCACTCAGAAATCTGTTTAGTAAAGAGTGACCTTCACAAATAGATTTGTTAGCTGCTAGTATTCGACCACAGGTGTCTGCGAAGCGTTGCTCGTGCACGTTGAGACAACTCAGCAAGCAATGTTAAAGTCAAATCCAGGATACAAGATAAAGCTAGTAAATATTTAACGAGCGCGATAAACACAGAATTAACATGAGAAGTGAGAATTACTGAACTTAGATTTTTACTAAAAGTGACTAGGATTTTGTTTTGCTTAGTCGTCGCATTTAGAAACTTAAACCAGTTCTACATGGCCCTCAAATGCCCTGGTACGACTGAGTGGGGAAAGTCAACTCTCCCTCTCGAAATAATCTCACATGGCCACGTGCATACAACCACGGCCGTAGATATCCTACTCACTGCATTCTCGTGACGGGGGTATTGTTTACGAAACTGAGAAGACGAATAGCGAATAACTGGGTTGGTGAACACGGAGAATCCACCTAGGGGAGTTGGAAGACCTTCATTCCAAACCAATGGTGTACATGGGCTCAAGGACCGTGAAGGGACAAATGGCGTATGAACCAATTATTGGACACCGGCTACTATGGGACTACATCACCTAACGTCGCTCCACTATCTTGTGGATTAGACCTTTAGATCGAAGGGTCCGGATGTGACCCCTTAAGTAAACCACCTGCTTCTGTTTGGGCACCCAGGCAGTATCCTAGCCCTCACATAAATCGAATGATTTATGTGGCGCATATCTATTTAGTGCCTCCGTGTACCAATATTTATGTTTAAATAAATATCAGAAGGGGTTTTGCGGATATTATAGTAATTTCAATGGTTGAGATCACCAGTCAGTTGAAGCTAGACCACCATACAAAACCTGAACGACCCTTTCGTCCTACTTTGGGACTCCTCAGCAGTGCGCATCCACGACCCTTCGAGATTCGAACCCAGGATTTATCAGTCTCGCGCGCGCGCTTAACCACTAGACCATTGAGTCAGCATCCAACAATGTGAATGTCTATCTTCAACTGATAAATAAATAACAAAGAATGTCAAGAACTAATATTACTCATTTGTAACTATTATAGAAAGATATTTATTGTTTTTATTCATCTGAAATAAGAAACAAATACAAATTGATTATATCTTCTACAAGTACCATACACAGAATATCGACTAAGTTCAATTGGTCAGGAATAGAAAAGAGAAGAACAACAAAAGTTCATTCAGATAGATGCAATAATACACTAAGAGAAATCAAAGATTGAAAAGACAAGAAAGAAAGCAAGAAATGATTGTTCACAATTCAAACATACAGTAACTATCATGTCTTTTCAAAGAGGTAGTCAGCAACAACAACAACAAAAAAATAGAACATCAAATATCTTCACATTTGACAAACCTTTTTTCTTTTTCTTGTTTTTATAAGGAAAACAAAAAATGGACTATATACAAATAAAACTGTTATGAACAAAAAGAAATAAACAACTATTGGGATAGAATAAGGAAGGAAGAAAGAAAAATGATCCAGGACAATATGAATAAGGTTGAAGAATATTTGTCAATGGACTGACTGACTATACTCTATTGAAAGTAACAGGCGTAAAGTAGATAAGTAAATAAGAAGAAAATAACGACAACAACAACGACGAAGAAGAAGAAGAAGAAGGGAGAGATGATTACATCATAGATTGATTCATTATACAGAACACACATGACAATTGAATTCATGTGATGAAAGAAGGAATAATCCTCTTTTTTTCTTTTCTTTTTTTTCTCTCTCTCTTTTTTTACACAAAATTATTATCTAAAAATTAATTATTGACACCAGTGAAATGTTTAGTAGAAAAATAATTCAATAAACTAAATGATGAAAAAAAAAGAAAAAGAAAAAAAGAAAGAAAATCTTTAGTTTTATATGATAAATTCATTATCATAATCATATACTCTCTCTCTCTCTGTCTCTCTCTTTCTTTCTTTCTTTCTTTCTCTCTCTGTCTCATTTAAAAGGGTAAGTAAGAAAGTACAAACAGAGATTGACTTTACAAAGTAATAATAGAAAGACTATCATAATCATGGAATATACTCTTTAATTATCTTTCCATTTTATTTTGAAACGTGTCACTTTATTTGAAGGGTTCTTAACATTATTCATTGTATTCGTTGAGAAATTAGAAGGAATAATTGTATTATTATTATTATTAACAGATGAAATATTAGATAATGGTATATCATTGATACGATTAGTTAATGTGGAAGAATAATTAGTATTACTAGTAGTAGTAGTAGTAGTACTACTACTACTACATGATGTTTGATATTGAATATTAGGATTATCAGAGAGTAATGGTAATGATAGAGCAGCATTTAATCGACTACCCATTTTTGTATTAGAATTTAAACGAGTAGATCCAAAATTGTGTATAGAAGTGTTCGAGTACATTGGACTCATACTTTTAGAAGAATTGAATACATGAGATTGTGATAATGTAGTAGATAGATAACCATTGGAATGACTTGGTATATAATTTAAATCAGTGGTTAAAGTTTCTCGTAGTGTGCCAAAACGACGTTGTTCAGATGAACTCTGAGTAAACAATGAACCACGGTACGTATTTCCAGGATTATGAGGTGGGATCTTTTTTCGTATAATATTACTGGGTCGTTGATTTATAAATGAAGGTGGACGACCACTGTATAATCTAGATTGTTGAGTTGGGTTTACATTGAATGTTTGACCTCTAGGCCAAGGAACGTTCGGAATATGAGGTGATAAATTAAAATTATTTGAAATTCCTGAAGATTCTTCCATGTGAGGCAAACCACACTTTTTATCCAAGTTATCACTAGAAGATGTGTGCTCTGTTTCAGGAGGTAGTGACAAGCAAGCCAAAACATCCTGGACGCATTCTTGAGGGATAAGGGATCCAATAATACGTTTCCCATCCTTTGACTTGAGACGTACAACTTGCATACAACGAGTAGAATTTGAACGCAGCTGAAGAAAAGGTTCAATTCTAGCCCATACATTTAACACTGACCCGCTAAGAACATAGTAATTACGCGTTCGTAAACCGACTTCACATAATGTTCGACTTTGGATAGTTGATGAACAAAACCCATGAAGTAACATATGAATGCAACGTCTAGCACTTTCTTTAAATATCCGGCTCCAAGGCTCTTGACAATCTGAAGGATTAGAAACGCGAGTATATCGTTCCTGTAACTTTTCGAGTTCAATTGGTCGTGCCTGCATACCAGTATTTGGTCGATAGATACGATATAATTTCGAATCGGATTTACTGGTCGATCGCGTAGTACGAGTTTTCACATAAACAGCTAGAACAGGTATAACAATTTTATTGTTACTAATAACCGAGGGCAAATAAAAACCGTCATTTACACCATCATGCTGAGTGTATATTTCCATAGCACCCGACCATGGTAATCCGCGTTCAGCAGTTACTTTGTGTAAATGAACTTGAGTAGATTCTGATAAAAACCACGTATCAAAACTTTTGGTCCATGTTATTTCCAAATTCTGACCAGAAGTACCAAGATCCAAAATTCCGAGATCCAGACGATTATCACGTTTAGCACGTCTGGTAACTTCTTCTAATGTGTCCGAAAAGTATTGAAAGAGTGCATTTTGAATATGAACACGTATACCTAAAATGCGGTTCAAAAATTTAGACATTTGATTACTATCCTTTTCACGACATCGACCAGTAGCCAAACCTACACCCTGTAAACTTGCTTTAACATCGTTAAAAAAAGACTGAGCATTTAAATTGTCCCGATCGACAGTAACGTCAAAAGGCGTGTCAGTTATATAGTCGTTTGGAGGATCAACTATGCCCTCATCGCCCCAAATACAAGCACGTAATACTAACTCTAAAGCTTCTCGTCCGAGTTTAGTATCCAGATTGAACTGCGACAAATCACGTGTTTCTGTAGCTCGTCTATCACCATGTGTCAGAGCACCAAGAGACTCCAAACGTTTAGCAACTGTAGAGGCGAAACGCTGCTCACCAGCCAAATTGGAAATCAGAAAGATATATTTTGGAGCGCTAACCTGGTTGGATCGGTGTGTACGACCGAACTGTTGAACTGCGCGATCTGCACTCCACGGAAGTTCCAATGTAATGTGAACACGTCGGCGTTGATTAGATGCCCTTCGGTCCGCCTGAAGAGAGATACCACTACTGGCTGCCTCAGAGATAATAGCAATGAGTTTCTCGCCATTCATGAAGCGTTGTTTTTCTGTAAGATTAAGTAGTTCTAAATTGACATCACTTTCACGACGAGATTCATAAGAAACGCGGCCATCATCCCCCATCACCATACGACCCTTTCTACCTGTCATCTCAGCAACCCGTGAGGGTCCACCCAATTTGTCAATCAACTCATCAAGGGAGCTGGGAGGTAACTTTGGACCAAGCTTTTCAATGAAACGCAAAAGTAAACTTTGCATTTCAGTACATTGCCGTTTAGCTTCTTCGGGAGAGACCTTCAGTTCATTGTTAGCAATCAGCGACTGATTAGCTGCACCTGAACCGCGACCCATAAGATACTGTTGTGATAATTTACGAGTCAACTCATCACCCCAAATATCATCTCCAAAGTGCTTGCTGTCATCGAATCGCTTGGTTGTATCACTGTTAGTGGTCGAATTGGACAGAGTCATGTTGCGAGCTAGAAAGCTGTCAAATAGCGCGTCTGGATCCCAATCTTCGTCCGAATCATCTGACAAGCAATTCGGTGAACCACCAGCTCGGTTATACTTTTGTTTACGTTTGCCAGAATGAGACTGCTTTTTAGAAGAATCCGACTTTTTTGATCTATTTCGACTGGAATTGTTGTTTGGTGAATTCACTTCCAGGTCTGAATCGTAATAATCAGATGATGAATTTCCATCTGATAGGTTACAGCCATTAGCTTTTTGAGGATTATTCAAATCAGAATCATCATCATCTGACTCATCAGAATGTTCATTACCATCATCGTCATCAGAATCAGATCCTACACCGTCAACTTTACTGGAATTTTCATAATCATCATTTAATTTCGATCCAGATAAACTACCACCAGCAACTAGCTTTGCAAGCATTTTTTCACCCAAAATATCTTTCAAACCAAGACCACTTCCTTGACCAGCAGCTATTGCGCGTCCTGCTCTATTGAGAGTTGTATTAGAGCTGCGATCACCTGCCGATGCTAGTTTATCCCCTCGAAGAGAGAAATTATCAACATTTGTTGGTGTTGGAAAATACTTTTCAACCAGACACTGGAACACGCCCCTGTAAAGAAAAAGAATTTCAAATAAATATGATTTTAACAATGATGAACATTGATTTAAAAATATAAATAATATCACCCACATATTTCATGTTTCACACTAAGTGGCTTATTGGTTCTATGCGTGTAGTAAGCTACACAGTTCTGACAAAGACCATAGATTTTGAGATGTATCAAGCGAGACATTGTTAACTTAACCTTTATTATTCCATAAATCCCCTTTGTAACGACGTAAAATACTTCAGCCAACAACAATACCTACAAAAATATTCCTAGAAAGTAAACTAAAAATAATTACCTAAATAATATTTATTGCTTGAAAATGTAATAGAGCCCAAATGTAAATCATATAACGAAGTGGCAGTTACCGAAAAATGTATTATGGATATATTGAAATCAAAGTTTAGATTAACTTACTTAGCAGTTGAGACGAATTCACCTAAATCTAAACCATATTCTTCAACTTGTTCTAGAGTTTTGGCCTCACCAGTAGACTGAAGACCAATGACAACACACTGATAATAGAAACAGAGATATGATTTATAATTAGCACTTACGGTATCTCAAAGGGTCATAGAAAAAACAGATCACAAATCAGATCAGATTACATTAAAAATGGTAAACATAAACGATTATATCACACATTCGACGTAAAATATCAAATACTAAAGGAAATGAATTACTAATAGCCACTGGCAATGACTGGTTGCTTAGTCATTATTCTATTCCCACAGTAACACGGGATTTATTCCTGATATGTATGGACAAAATTAATGCGTAGTGTGTCTCTAATTGCACATAAAAAATTGACTCAGTAACCGAATATGTCGTCAAACCTAAGTTCAAATAAGTGAACTCCTAGGAAGTAATGAGGACCTGTGTTGATCTGCCAGAAGTAGTCGACAATGTCCTGTGTTCGGATAGTTGTAGGTACTAATGGTGATGTGAACTATGAGACTAACTAACATATAGTGAGAGCCAGATAGACTTGCGCCAATCTGGACAATCCTTAGGACCATCGTGATGTTGGTCTGGGTGTAAACTGTCGAGTTTGCAACGCCGCGTTAGTTCAGTCAGTCAGTCAGTCAGTCAGTCAATTAGAGTGATTTCGCCCAGTGCCTGCGAAACCTGGCCTCGAGGTGAGGACGTTCAACAACTCTCTGTTCTATCACCGTTGTCTCCGAATAATTGCTGACATTCAGTGGCAACACTTATCAACTACTCTGAGCTTTGACAATGTGTGTTCAGTTTCAGTGAAGACAAATTAATTAACGTTACCAACTCGAAACAACGGCTTCTGTGAGCTGGACATGTGTCACATAAGTCATCCAAGTGGCTTCCACATCACGCAATATTTACCTGTACTGAGATAGAGTGGAAAATGTGGAGGTGATCAGTTTATAATATGGTAACGTGGTGTGATGAGAAAGTGAGCTATATAGGACTGTCATCAGTCGGTCGGACACGATCGCCTGGACAGAGTTGTAGAGACGGGGCAACTCACTGGCTTGATATTTTATCAGATATAGTTCAGAATAGAAAGTGGTGCAGATCTTGCAGTAATTTCCTCTTATATTAGTCATAAAAGTAATAGCATCTTCCTTTGGAAGTTGAATTATTATTTGAAGTGCAGCTTGCGTTATACTTTATCATTCTTCATGTATTTAATTTATTGATTGCTGCTACCTCCTTTACTTCTTCAGAGCATAAACTCTTTATTTGTATGATAAATACTTTTTTGATGACCAATTATACCAAAAAATAAACACATACAGACAAGTTGACAATGCCTCCAAAATATTTAGCTAGACAGTCTTGAGTAATCTAAAACATGGCACATATGTGCGCTGGTTGAAGTTGAGATAACAAAGTAGCAGGTACATCCAGCTGACAAGTCTTAAATAGGACGAAATGTCAGCACGTCTTGGATTCGACTGCTAGCCACCATCCTTTTTTGTTTATAATACATGGCAATATCGAGGCAAGACGCACAGTATGCACATATGCTAATAATAGATTGATCATTTGCAGTCCTGAACATCAATGGGAAGATTTAAACAAACAGTACAAAATGAACAAATATATAGAAGTTCAAAAAGACGATAAGTAGACAATACTATGAGTGAATTTGTTTGAGTTATCAATGAATTGTTTTTACCCTTGACATCTACAGTGAATAATAATGAGAAAGCAGCTAATCATATAAAATTTAACAACTGTGTATTTAGCACACTTTATGTCGCATCTCTTAAAATCTGAGAAATACTGTTCAATTAAATCTTAGCACAATACCCCCAATCAGTCAGTAACAGCGTAGAACTTCGTACGTACGTACATCAGTTCGAGTTGCCACACCACATTAGCACAGAGATACTAATGTCCATTCAAATCCCATAGTGGTAGAGGTAGTAAAAGTATAAGCAGTAATCTGAAAGATTAGAGTTCAAAAATATTATTCAAGGAGTATAATCCAGTGAAATAAATTTGCAAAGAGAAAATAAGAAAGGGACATGAAGAATTCAGAAGATTAGAATTTGAGAGAACACAGAGAGTGGATGCACTTGCGCCATTGCAAACGATTTGGAGACATGTCATCCAGGTTCGTCTAATTTTAAGTAATAATTAAACATCTCATTAACGATGGTAATTATTTTTTCTTCGAAAATAAATAAACAATAAACACATGATCACAAACAAATTCAAAATAAACACAATATGTAAGATTCCAGTAATACTCTAAGTTAATTTAAGTAGCATAATTCGGCAAACAAAGAAAGAAAACAAATACCCACTTACTTTACCCTCATCAACAGCAGTTTTAGCAATTTCAACACATTTTTCCACTTTGGCAGCAATACAAAGATACTTGAAAAATCGTTGGTGAGCAGACCAAAACTGTCCCCACATAGTTTTACGATAACGATCACTTAGATCTAATAAACGCGACGCTTCTGAGAAGAAGCGATATGCATACACCCACTATATAATTTATGAGAAAAAAAAGTAACAGCATTTAATAACATTATTAACAATAAACTAAACAAAAAACAGGTTAAAACATTTGTAGATCGACGTATGTAATGTTTACGTGACTGTGGTAAGTTTAGTGATGAATGGATTCCCAGCAGTAGGTCAATGATGAAATTAAATAAAGATGGAGATGGTGATCAGACTTGCCGGACACCACTTGAGGTTGCAAATTTAGATGGCAGTTCGCAATAAACTCTGACCCGACTGGTAGTGTTTGAGTAAAGAGCCTTCACAAGGTTTGTGTACTTTTGAGGTACACCACTCAGTGATAGATACTGCCACAGAACCTCCCGGTCTACAGAGTCAAATGCTGCATTGAAGTCAAGGATGACCACCACCACGAATTGTGAATATGTGGTCGATGTAGCCACGACCAGGTCTGAAGCCAGCCTGATTTTCGCGTGTTTCCAGTCCGTGGGTTTTACTAAAGCGCCCGATAATTATTGAGGTTACTATTTTAGATGCTATGTTAGTTAAATTAATCCCACTATGGGTGTCACTGGGTGATCTTGACCTCTTCTTATATATTGGGACAATAAGTCATTACGACCAGTCAGACGGGATTACGTCCAACCCCCATATTTTACGTAAAATATTAGTTAACCTTATCGCTAAAACTAGGCCACCATCCTTAAAAACCTATGGAGCTAATACATATGGATTAGCTATAGACATATGAACTTTGATTAGAGTCAGAAGCGGACTATTTCAAAACTTCGTTCAGGTTATTTGGAAATGGTGGGTAGCTGACGGTCAGCTAAAATGCTCCGTAAAGTTTCGCGCATCGTTCGGAACGTCTGGGCTGGGAACAGATAAGAGTGTGGTCTTTTTCCGAGATACATTTGACATTTTAATTCGAGTTTCTTTTATTAGTCTCAAAACCTGTCTGGTGTTACCCACAGCCGTCGACTTTTCCATCTCTTTTGCTTTTGTTGACCACCACTGCTCACGATTGTTCCTTAGACTTTTAGTTATCCTGGATCTGATTTGTTTACGCTCTTTATCGTATTCAAAGCCTAATGGGATTAGTTTATGAGAATTAGAATTAGTAGAAATCCACTGGTTTTTCGTAACCCTTTGGTTTAAATCACTAGTAAATGTCGCTGTTGTTTCCATAGCTGTCTGTATATCATCCCAAGCAACATCTGGATCAGCCTCGTTTTCAAAATCGCTTAATTGTGACTTCAGTTGTTTCTGGAATCTATCTTTGGTTTTCTCATCGCTGAGTTCAACTTAAGTGGGGTTTTTTATGTGAATTTTTCTGCGTCCAGTGAGACACAAGCAAATGAGTGCTCGTACTAGAGCATGATCAGAGTCTAGACATGTATTCCAAAACGAGTGGCAGTCTTCTATTAAGTCTTTCAAATGGTGAATGATGACAATGCGGTCTATTTGAGTACATTGTTGATTTGGTGCAGGGGGTTGCCATGTTAGACAATGTTTTTCCTTATGCTTGTCTGAGAACAGTTGCAGCAGACGGTCACCATTATCTGTTCGCTTAACCAGAATACTAAAACACCCACCTAAAGAAATGTGTTCCACTTTCGGAGTTGCTACTTAAACTGGTCAGTTACACGTGTTTCTAAAAAATAAACGACCGGACATAACATCTATAGTGATTAATGTACGCCATATGTCAAACAGAATGTTAATATATATTTGTTAAACAAATTACGAATTATTCATGAGAGTATACTGATCGTGATGAGATGATAGAGTTAAGGAACACTAACCAGGTCAGTTGACTGATTATATACATGAATAAAGCTTTCATGGCCTAATTTGACGTTCTCTATTAGTACTTCATTAATGCTGAAATTCACACCATGAAAACTGAGCTGCCGTGCAATATACATTCCACGTAGTTTCATGTCCATAGCAACCAATTCCATAGCACCAACACCCCGTCGCTCAAGTGTTTGGATGAATGAATTAAATGTTTTAAATGGCGTCCCATCACCCCACAGTCCCAGACGCGTCATATAAGCCATGTTACGGGGTTCAGTGGCACCTGTTGCACTGGCATAAACAATCCGAGCATTTGGTAGTTTGTTTTGTAATTCAAGTACAGTTAGACCGGTTTTTGTAGGTTTTTGAGAACCACTAGGAGTTAAATTTTTAGCTCGATGACATTCGTCAAACACAATCTGTGTGGAAAGTAAAATTATTATTGGAAAGTAACATTGAATTTAGAACGATGAAAAGACAAAGGTGTTAGTATATATATATATATATATATATATATATCGCACAGCAAATCCCATAAAGGTAAAATATTTTGTATGATCACTAGAAATTGTAACCGCCTGCCTATGAAAGGATTTGGAATGCTACCAGAATCAAATGACTAGTTGACTAGACAAAGAATGATGGCTTAAAGATCAGAAAATCTTTACATATGAGCACTTTTCCAAAACATATTCATATTTCAAAGAATTTCCTACGTTAAATTCACTTGGTGTTGTTTTACTTGTATCTTCCCATTGTTATTTAGGACTGTAATCAATCAGTCTCATGTTGGCATATGTACATTCTGTACAGATTGCCTCGATATAGCCTTAAGTCACAAGCTTTTTAAGCAAGTACACCCAGCTGACGAGTCCCAAATAGGACGAAACGCGTGTCCTGCACTCCACTGCTAGCCACTATCCATCTTTGCTGAAATATTTCTTACGTTATTTAGCAACTGTATGTACTATACTTTTGTTAAGTCCTTGTTATCTAAATCGATAAATCTAATGCCTAGTATTTTATGGATATTACTCCATTCAACTGCTCACCAAATCAGGATACGTCTTGGACAGTAGGATAATCATATTCCAAAATAAACTAAGTTGAATAAATGTGAATTACAGTGAATAAAACGTTATTACATTTTTTTTAATTTTTACACAAGAAGATTCTAAAGTCTTCCCTATTTACCCAATGGCGCTGGTTCGTTAAAAATGGGGTAAGCAGCGTACTTCAACATAATCCTAAATGAAAGATGCTTTAAACCAATCAATATCTAGCTAAAACCTTTATTTTACATAACTAGATAAGTTAAAACTTAGCAAAACATTTTACAGTACAGTTAATACAAACTGGCGATGACTATGAGATTGTACGACTGGTTAGAAAGTTTTCAGTAAATTGTTTCATTTATAGAAATATCAATGAAAGTTTATTTCAGACAGCTATCTTTAAAAAATAAAGTGAATACTGAAGTTAAGAAAATTTTTTTAAAAGATCAACCAGTTGTTTAAATTGTTTGATATTAGTTAAACGTCAACGTTTGTAAGCAAATGAAGAATAATACAATCAGCATAATCACTCTTACTCTAAATACCAAGAATATTAACCCTCCATAGTAACATATAAAAGCGCTTAGCATAGATCCCCCTCCTAGATCCATATCATTTTCCCCATAACAATTAGTAAAATATGAAAAAAACAAGTAACATCCAATATGAAAAGATGGAATGAGATTTGTCAACTCAGTCAGTCAGTAACAACGTAGAACTTCGTACGTACGTACATCAGTTCGAGTTGCCACACCACATTAGCACAGAGATGCAGTTGTCGATTCAAATCCCATAGTGGTAGAGGTAATAAGAGTATAAGCAGTAATCGGAAAGATTAGGGTTTGGAGATGTTATTTAAAGAATATAATCCAGTGAAATAAATTTGGAAAGAGGAAAAAAGGGACATGAAGAATTCAGAAGATTAGAATTTGAGAGAACACAGAGAGTGGATGCACCTGCGCCATTGCAAACGATTTTGAGTCATGTCATTCAGGGTCTCTAACCATCGGTTGCTATCATCTCGCGGTCCTCAACCAGGTAGTCTACACCGACCAACATGATTTGTCAACTAAATTTCAATCTTGTTTCAATCAAGTCACATAGTAACAAAAATAATCCAATTGTATTTATGAGGATAATAAAGGTCAAAGTGAAGAAGAAAAAAAAAATACTAGCTCAACAATACACATTAGAAAAAATGAATAGAGAAAAAATATATTAAAAAAAATACTAATTACTGACTTACAACACCATCGAATTTTTTCCCACACCAATGAACAAGTTGTTTTAATCGAGTTTTATATTTTGCTTTTGCACTACCTTGACTTTCACCAATCAATGAAGAATAAGTAGAAAAAATAACACCTTTTTTTACACGTCCATTAGTTTTACCAGAAATACGAGCATATTTAAACTGAACAGTGGAAGAAGAAGAAAAAGAAGAAGAAAAAAAAAGAAGAAAGAAACATAGAAGTGTGGAATATTGTTAATGATGTTACTAATGAATTCAGAAAAAACAAAAACTATATCTCTAAGGTAATCTCATTGAATTTTATGATAAAGAAACTACATTGAAATGATATTGAAAACGGATTGAATGTGATAATTTCTATTTATATACAAGACTGTTGTTACAAGCATATGGAAACAACATTATTATAACCACTTATGTGATTATAAGAAAATAACCAGTGAAATTATTATTCTAAAATGTCATCACGAAAGTTAGTACACACCGTTTGTGAACATAAACAAATCTGTTTTTTCTTTGTTGTTGTTGTTGTTAAATATACTTGAAGATGTTGAGTACATGGATGCCTTCAAAAATGATAATTAGATGTCATCTATGAAGTCTGTATCATCTTTTTCAAGTGCCCATAAAAAATATATAATGCTAAATGAAATCTTACTTTATGTTTATATATTTTATTGGTTTTATTTATGAGTCGAATTCTAGTGAAGTAGATTGCACATAAAACAATCAGACAGCCAGTTACCTACGGAATAGCTATAACGACGGAGATTATAGTTGAAAATCTGTTTTGAAAAAAAAACATACTTCGCCTAATACGACTAGACTTTATAGGTGAATAAGAACAACGGCTGAAATACAAAGCAGTTAAATAAACATCAGGATCAATAATGAATGGACCTTATGTAGTCCAAGGCGAACAGTCTCACCTTGTTTAAGGAATGAACCTTGATCTTTCCCAAGCCCACGTCACGCAGATCGCGTTCAGCATCGACCTTCAAATCATTTGAAACTGAGAGCCAAATGGCCTTCTTACGATGTCGTAAATAATTTTCATATAATATTCCGGCAATGGTGCGACCTTTTCCCACACCTGCCCCGTCGCCTGTGGTGGAGCAAGCAAATGCACCACTTTAAGAAATATTGTAATAATTCACCCGCATTATCATCAAATAATATGAATAAACAAAAGTAAATATCGAAGGATACTATGGTGGTTTTATTGTCACAAGTCGATTTGTATTGTCAGCAGAAAAACGGCAACTATGAACTTGATGAATGATCAAAAGCAATTCTAACGCCTAAGAAGCGCTCGTCCACAAGTCAATAACAGAAAAGTGAACACAATCTAAAACGTCATACAAAAGTACGACACTTTATGTTGCTATACTACGCATCTGTCCCTACACCGACTCATAAAAATACAACATTTTCATAATAAGCTCCTTGATATACCATTGTTTAATCATGAGCTTCAGACTTATAGTAACAATGTTACATAATGTTATTCATGAAAACGATATGAAAAGGAGAGAATTTCTGAAAACACAGTTATGCACATGTAACAAAAATGTTTTCTTACCTGGATGGAAATGTGTATATTCTCGACTAAAATGAAGTAACTTCATAATGCCTAAAATTTTGCAACTATTGGAAGATGACTGGACTACAAAGTGTTTAGGGAAATACTTGTTTTGCTTCCTATAGCAAGCTTACAATGACTATGAAGCTGTTGTCATTCTTGAAAAATATGAACACAGTAATATTTCGATTCACTGGTATTCAATTTTTACATTGAATACTTGTAATATTTACAACCCGTAAAATGTCATTGAGTAATAACCATTCCAAATAGCTGAATATTCAGAAATCATGAGTCTGACCATGACTTAAACTATAGCCAAATTATTTGGTTCCCTTGTTATGAGGTAAACAACTAGGTACTATCCAAGAACCTACAACTTAACCTCTTCAATATCATTTAAAAAGTATCCATAAAAATGAAGTTCTTATCCGATTGTACCGTTAAAATGTAATAATCGCGTGCTACAATAGTTAGATACTTGAGTAAGCTACTAAATTAGTGACAAAGGTTTTTAGTCAAGGCACACAAAGTTAATAAGATTTAACAGTAAAAGATTAATTACGCCTGCACAACTAAAAACCTTTTCTGAAAATTATAGTTGACAGACAAATATTAACTGCTCAACTACTCTGTTAGTCATGATCAACAAAGAACCTAGCAGAAATGTGCACTGACCAAAGTTTTCACAACAATATTGCAAAATGAGGTAGAAAAAATTGACGTGATTAGTAAAAGATATGGTAATAATGTGATAGCGACGATAATGAGAAAGACTGAATATTAAGAATACGATTCCTAAAAACGGAAGAATTATGTATGGAGGAATAATGGGACTTAACATCTAAAGCGAAATAAAGAGTGCATCTGCGCAAGTATGAATGATTTAGAACCACTTCACCGTCTCCAACTGCTGATCGCAGTTATCACACGGACTCCAACAAGGTAGTCTGTATCCATCCACATGGCTCATATCAAGTAAGTGATCTTATGGATTGATGCCAAGTTTCGGTTTGGCGTTTCCTAGCTTTCTCCCAAACTACTTCTGTAATATCAAGCATTGCGATTTGAAGCAATTACCAGGCATACAAAAAGTGAGTCCTAACCACCTTAGTCGATGAATACTTACAATCCCACTATTTTTACTTAGTATCCTATCTCTTACCTTAGCATTGCTCACTCGACATTTACGTGGGACCCAAGCAATGCTTCGAAAACCCATGACTAAAAACATGTAGCCTACGTAGGTCTTCTAATTTCGGAGAATGTTCCACAGCCACAAGGTAAACCAGACTTCTTTGCAGTACACACGCTTTTGGTTGGCAGACTGACATCCCACTCAAACCACGAGTGACTCAAGTTGGCATACTTCAATCGGATTTCCTGAATCCGTGCTGAGGTTTCATCAGACACTGATGACAACCTTAAGGTAAATGAAGTGGTCTGTACGATCGACTTTTCCACTCCTTATCATTAATTCAGGCACTGACGCAGACTACTCTTGAAATAACACTTTGTATTTAAAGAGAGAATCGCATCCCAAGCAGGCCTGAATTGCTTATTAAAGTGGTCAAAAGACTGTATTTTGTCAGCGTCTTCATCAAGCAGAAGTATATAATCTGCCTATTCCAAGTTATAATGTGATCCCCTGATGCAAGATAGACCCCTGAAATCAAAAGATGAAAGTTCTGTCGCTAAAAGCCTTTCTATGACAAAGTTAAATAAAAACTGGGAAAATGAAAGTCCTGATGAACGACACGGGAAGTTATTAATTCTGATACCAGTTAGTCTTGAGCTCTGACTTAATCAGAACCGCTCGAGTAGAAAGCCTTAACAGAGTCAATGCACTTCATTGGTACGCCTTTGAATGACAAACACACAGAACCTCACGACCAAAAGAGTTGAACATAACAACATATGTTAATTAGCATTAGATTAGTCCTTTGACTCGGGTAGATTCGATTCATAAGGTTAGTTATCCTGGATGAATAGCTTCACAAAAAATTGAACAATTCTTTAAAAAATTTTAGACCCATTGCACCACGTTCAATGGATAAAATGAGTACATAAATCCACGTTTGGTTAACTAGTACCACAGCTTACAGTTTTGTTAAGCGACGAAAATGTATGATAAATACTACTCAAACAACAAATAACGTACCAATTAAAAACCCAGCACGTTGACCATTCGGTAAGATACACTCATGACGTTGACAGGCGTACACCACTGCTTCCAGTTGCAAAGCTGAAAGATACGCCCGCTCGATAACTTCATCCGGAAGAATCAGGCGATAATGAATATCTGGAGGAGAGACACTGGACAAGGAACTCGACTCGACAACAGGATCTGGATGCTTTTGTCCATAATTCACTGAAATAACAAGAACGTCATTATATTTTAAGAACATATGAAGTTATTTCTTACTGTTATCAATGGAAAAGGAAACAAGGTGAAAGAAACTGATAACTGCATACATATATAAAATAGTTAAGTAGATAAGCTACCTGAAATTAAATGAAATGCCTATTTTAAGATTTCAATCTGTACAACATTTTTCAGTTAGAGACATTCTAAAGAATACAAGTTATTGACTAGGACAACCCTAACAACCTGTTTATCAAATAGTAAATTTGCTAGATAAGGTGTTGTATAGCTTTTATACTATTGCTTGCGCGTGGGGATTCTAATGTATTGACGTCTCGTTCTACCAGAAGATATACTGTAGTGAACAAGAACTCAGATGGGAAAGAACAATTTGTTGTTTAATGCAACATTAGTGTCTCGGTAAAATATTAAAACCATACATTAAATACATCATTTGGGCATCTTCGATTGAATGTTTCTTACAAACTTCATCGTTTTTTCATTCCAGATGTTGTCACAATTACTCTCTGTATATATTCCTGTTTTTCTCCCGACCGAAGCTGCTACCTTGACGCGGTGGTCGGCCTTGCCTATCGTGATGAAGTAACCGAGCTATATTGGCTGGAACATATGTTCCTGTAGATTCTACCATGCCAGGCAGGTCGATTGGAGAACGGTAAGACTATAAGCAGCAACTCAAGGTCTGAGGGCGAAGTCGTACTGCTGACTGTACAGAGGTGTGACAGCAGTAAGGTGTTTCCTTCAGACAACCAGCATGACAGCGATGCTGCCTTCCCACATGGAGGGGTGGGGCTAGAAAAGGTCGACCCTAAAAATGTCACACCTCACCTTACCTCACGGATTTCCGTCTCCGGCGGTAAGGCCCTTTGAAGAACTGAGCTAACACGTCAAAAACCTCCCACGAAAAGGCCGTGCGCGACCGGCCTCAAGCAGTTGTCCCTTGGGCTCTGCGGTCACGCTCCCAGGTCGTCAAGACCAACACTAATTCAATTTCCTTTTCAGGTTCCTCGAGAAATACCCTTCCTCGGTGTGGGCAGCCGGGAAGTGATATCAGCCCTCATACCCGTAACAGCACACGAGACCAAGTTGGTCACATTCAAATTCTTCCTACACCTCCTAATACCTCTCTTATTTCCTCGACTAACCCTCCTCACTTCTCTTTATCACCTCGCACTGCTAGGGCAAACTATTCGAATACGTGGAACGCTATTCCTGGTCTCCTGAAACCACGCTCTAAACTACACGTAGGAGCTTTTAACGTTCAAACACTGTGCCAAATAGGACAGCAGGCTTCCTTAGCTAGGACTTTAGAACCTCGCGCCATCGATGTGTGCTGCGTCTCCGAAACGCGCATACAGGATCCGAGTAGCGTCATTCATTTGACCTCATCATGCCAAAATAAAGAACCGACTCGATTTGCGCTTCGTATATCTGGAAGCCCTGATTCTGCTTCCCGTGAACTCGCCAGCGTAGGTATAGCATTGAGTCCTAGGGCAGAACTAGCTCTCTTAGAGTGGATCCCAGTAGACAGTCGTTTGTGCGCTGTCCGACTGAACGGAACAGTAAGGATCCGGAAAGATAGGGACACTCGTCGTTGCCTCTTCGTCGTCTCTGCCTATTCTCCCACTGACTGCAGCTCAGATGATGTAAAAGATGAGTTTTACAGAAAGCTTTCGGACCTTCTCCGAAAAGCTAAGCGTTCGGATGTAGTAATAGTGGCCGGTGACTTTAATGCTCAAGTAGGTAAACTAAGCGATAAGGAAAGACACCTAGGTGGATCCTATGGTGCCGTGGCTCAAAGAACAGATAATGGCGACCGTCTGTTGAAGCTATGCTCAGATAACCGCTTGTTCCTTGCAAACACTAACTTTGAGCATAAGGAAAAACATCTTTTAACATGGCGACCCCCTAATTCGTCCCTACGTTGGACCCAAATAGATCACATCGCTATCAGCCACCGATGGAGGGGCTCGATAGAAGCAGTGATATCTGCTAGTAAGGTAAACCGTTAAGTTACGGAGAAACACTGGATCTCAGCAGCATCTATCGCACTCATTCCACCTGGCTCTGAACATAATGAAGAGCGGAGTCAGCTTAAGCGCAATCTGGCAAGAAGTCTACGCAATGACCGTGAACAGTGGTGGGTAGCGAAAGCAAGAGAGATGGAAAAGGCAGCGGCAATAGGTAATAGCAGACAATTGTTCAGACTCGTTAAGGAAACCGGAATCAGGAACCCGACCGATAGCGAAACAATCTCAGAGAAAGATGGACATATTATACACTCTCAATCCAGGAGATTGGATCGATGGGCAGAACACTTTAGGGATCAGTTCAACTGGCCTTCAGCCACACTTCGGTTTCCCACGATCTCTAGTCAACCTGAATGGCAAGTTAATGTAGGTCCTCCGTCCCTTTACGAAGCTGAAAAAGCCATAGGAAATCTGAAACGAGGGAGAGCAGCAGGCCCTGACAGGTTTACTCCTGAGATTTTTAAGGATGGTGGTCCAGTATTAGCAATGAGATTAACCGAGGTCTTAGGTAGAATTTGGGAACTGGACGTAATCCCATCTGACTGGTCTCAATCACTGATTGTGCCAGTCTATAAGAAAGGACAAAAGTCCTCTTGTGACAATCACAGAGGAATCAGTTTGACTAATGTAGTGTCTAAAATATTAGCTTCAATAATACTTCGACGCCTAATCAAAGCTCGTGAAGAGCAGATTAGAGAAAACCAGGCCGGTTTTCGACCTGGATGTGGTTGTATAGATCAGATATTCACACTACGTCAGGTTCTAGAACAGAGACACACATTCAGACGCCACACAATGGTAGTATTTCGCGACCTTGAGGTGGCATTCGACTCTGTTAATCGTAAAATTCTATGGCAGTGTTTTTCACTGAAAGGAGTACCAAAGAAGTACATTAACCTTATAAAGGCTCTCTACTCGAACACAACTGGTAGGGTGAGAGCTTATGGCGAACTGTCAATAGAATTGATTACCTCAAGTGGTGTTCGTCAGGGCTGTCCACTCTCTCCATTCTTGTTCAACTTTGTTATTGACGCATTTTAGAGGTAACAGTTTCCTCGTCTAGATTTCCAGGAGTTGAACTTCTACCGGGAGGTTCACTTGTTGACTTAGAATATGCTGATGACATAGTTTTATTTGGTGAAGACGCTGAAAAAATGCAGAGTCTTCTGATCACTCTAAGCAACAATGCAAGCATGTTCGGGATGCGATTCTCTCCCTCGAAATGCAAAATGTTGCTTCAGGATTGGGTTACATCGACAACTGGACTAATGATAGGGAGTGAAGTAGTTGAGCGTGTCGACCACTTCACTTATCTTGGAAGTCTCATCAGCCCTTGTACTCTGGTGTGTGATGAAATCTCAGCACGGATACAGAAGGCTCGACTAGCTTTTGCCAACTTGCGTCATTTATGGCGTAGGTGAGATATCCGTCTATCAACCAAAGGATGTGTTTACTGTGCAGCAGTTCGTTCCAGCCTACTTTATGGTAGTGAAAAATGGCCGGTAAGAGTAGAGGATATTCATAGGCTACTAGTATTCGATCATAGGTGTCTTCGAAACATTGCTCGTATATCCTGGAACCATCGAGTAAGTAATGCAGTTGTTAGGAAACAGGTACTACGTAAGGATAGAAAATCCATTGGTGAGGTAGAGAAACTTCATCAGTTGAGATGGCTGGGACACGTGTTACGTATAACCATCGACCGACTGCCTCGACGTGCGATGTTCAGTGGTACATGAGTAGGTTGGAAGAAAGCTAGGGGTGGCCAGACCAAAACATGGCATAAGTTCATGAAGTCACTGACAAGTGGACTGAGTCATGTTGGTAGGTGTAGACTACATGGTTGGAGACCGCGAGATGACATAAACCGATGGTTAGAGACCTTGAATGACATGGCTCAAAATCGTTTGCAACGGTGCAGGTGCATCCACTCTTTGTGTTCCCCCAAATTCTAATCTTCTGATTTCTTCATGTCCCTTTCTTTTTTCTCTTTCCAAACTTATTTCACTGGATTATACTCCTTGAATAACATCTTCAAACCTTAATTTTTCTGATTACAGCTTATAATCTTACTACATCTAGCACTACGGGGTTTGAATCGACCACTGCATCTCTGTGCTAATGTGGTGTGGCAACTCGAACTGATGTACGTACGTACGAAGTTCTACGTTGGTACTGACTGACTGACTCTTCAATTTTATCTTCCCAATCTTCTGCAGCCAGGCATTCCACCTTTGACTGATGTTACATACTACTCATATTTGTCAACATAAGTATCGTACACAATACAAGGAGAAATATATGAATGAAGTGAATAGTTAGCATTTAATAAGATAACACCTGTCAGAAGTTTACAGGACTTTAGATGTTTGTCCACAACCATATTATTCACCACTGCTGTCTTCAGCACTTTCCAGAATATAGCAGTCTTTTCTCAAAAGAATAATGAAGAACAGTAAAGACTCATAGATAATACGCAAGAATTGATAAATTGTAAGAGTAAATGTCGAGTAATTGTTATATCCGAACGAAGAATAAGAGAATGGTAATTGCTAGGATCTATTTACGGACTGACATATACAATCTTATCGTATAACTATTAAGTCCGCTCTCCCTCTCGAAATGCTCTCCCATGGATAAATGTATACAGCCACTATCAAGCAAGTCCTGCTCGATGCCTTCTCGTGGCGAGGGTGCTGTTTACGAAATTGAGAGCGGAAGGCGAATGTTCGGCGCATTAACCGGGTTGGTGGACACAGGAGATCCACATAGGGAATTTGGAAAACCCTGATGTATATGGGCTCCGGGATCCTGAGAGAACAAAAGGCGTATGAACCTGTTGTTGGTCACCGTCTATCATGGGACTGTATCTACTAAGGTTGCCCCACCACCTTATATGTAAATATATATATATATATATATATATATATAATGCTTCACTACGAATTATCGAAATCCCGATACGAAACTTTCAGGTTCAGCAAGACTTGTTATTTTTTAATTGTGGAGATGGTACAAAAAGATTTTTTACCAACAAAGCGGAGAACACAAGTTAATAGGTTGTAACAAAGGGTTAAAAGTTTCGAGTGAAAGATTGAAAACAAATAAACTTGTGTCACCAGACAAAACACTTGAAATCTTAGTTTGAGTAGCAAGTTCCTTATTTGTGTACCACTCTCAAGTCAAGACATAACATCAGGACTTCAACTCCTATGAAAGCTGTAATAAAAATTTAGTTACAATTACGAATGTTACTTAGTAACCGAAAATAGGTTTATGTACCAAGACTCGAGTCATACATTTTCCATAATCAATATAATACTTTTTTCAGCAACCCCTTTGAGGTTAGTTATTTCAATAAGCTTTTTCAATTAAGTCATCAGACTAAGGAAAATAGCCAGTGCAGAAAAACAGCTTATAGGATTTAACGTAAAATATTGAACTAGTGGGTCGAATATAATTTTGAGACACCTTATTTCCTTAGGTTTGCTTTCCTCTATTTGTGTATCAGATGACTAGATTTTGATATTTAAGTGAATGTTAGCTAAACTGATTTGTCTGTAGCTATCAAAAAAGCTTTGTTATTTCTTCTAAACAAGAGCACCTAATAGATTAGGTGTGTCGACGGAACCCATTTCGGACCTCTATACCCATTGATACCTTCCTTAGTAAACCCACTAATGTTGGACCGAAACGCTGAAGAAGTTTGAAAGACGAACATTATGTTTTGCTCCGTCATCTCATTTTTTCCAACTCCATTAGGAAATAAAGTCACTTTTAACATTTTGTTTTTAGTCAGTCGAAATGATTTTCAAGTTTTGTTAAGAAGATGTAACCGACTATTTTATAAGGCTAATAACGACTAAGACAATTTGATAGTAATCATCTTAACGATCATCTTATTCAGGTCAGTGTATTTGATGAAAATATATGTACACTAATACAAAGTAAATGTCCTACCAACAACTGTATAGACGCTTAGTCAATTTGATCGCTTTATTACTTAGTCAAACTCATGAAGTAAGAACATGTTCAAATCATATGGGTTATTCCAAAAATATTTACACTAATCGAAGACTATAGTATGCAAAACTACCAAGCATTAATTCTCCTAATGCTGGTCCTGTAGCATACACAAGCATTGATGTTGCACCCACTTAGAAACACAACACAATTATTGTGCAGTGCAATATTTATAAGTGCATGTATATTGTGAAAACATGAATTCTCTTACGTTTTGACGGAATATAGTCAGCATACGTTTCAGCTTGAGCTAAATCTTCATCTTCATCCATATCTTCATCTCGCTAAGAGAGAATAAACAACATCAAGTTTCTCAATAGCATACTAAAATGACTTCAAAAAATCACGTTTGTAAACAAAACAACACATCAATATTAGAAGTGAATTTATGTAGTGATCAACAAACTCATCTACAGATTAAACTCTTACTATTTTTAACGCAGACAACGTTCCTAATGACCATCATAAGAGTTCTGAATAAATTAAACAGATTCAGAAATTCTCCTGCTTGTACGAGTTGTACATTTTTATGACGAATATAAGAGGAGATTACTGCAAGATCTGCACCACTTTCTATTCTGAACTATATCTGATAAAATATCAAGCCAGTGAGTTGCCCCGTCTCTACAACTCTGTCCAGGCGATCGTGTCGGACCGACTGATGACAGTCCTATATAGCTCACTTTCTCATCACACCACGTTACCATATTATAAACTGATCACCTCCACATTTTCCACTCTATCTCAGTACAGGTAAATATTGCGTGATGTGGAAGCCACTTGGATGACTTATGTGACACATGTCCAGCTCACAGAAGCCGTTGTTTCGAGTTGGTAACGTTAATTAATTTGTCTTCACTGAAACTGAACACACATTGTCAAAGCTCAGAGTAGTTGATAAGTGTTGCCACTGAATGTCAGCAATTATTCGGAGACAACGGTGATAGAACAGAGAGTTGTTGAACGTCCTCACCTCGAGGCCAGGTTTCGCAGGCACTGGGCGAAATCACTCTAATTGACTGACTGACTGACTGACTGAACGCGGCGTTGCAAACTCGACAGTTTACACCAAGACCAACATCACGATGGTCCTAAGGATTGTCCAGATTGGCGCAAGTCTATCTGGCTCTCACTATATGTTAGTTAGTCTCATAGTTCACATCACCATTAGTACCTACAACTATCCGAACACAGGACATTGTCGACTACTTCTGGCAGATCATCACAGAGAGTGAGTGACAACACAGGTCCCTTCAGTCAGTCAGTCAGCTACAACGTAGGACGAAGCACATACGTGCATCGGTCCAGGTTGCCATACCGCATCAGCACACAAGATGAACACCGGATTCATAGCAGTGGTTAGGTCAAAGGTGGTAATATATAAAAGAAAGATTGCATATAGAGATATAGTACAAGAAGAAAGAATTGGTTCGTAGAAAGAAAGGTATGAAGCAATTTTAACCCCTTAGTTTAAGGGAAGACAGGGAGTGTATACACCGACGCCATTGTGATCGATTCTGAACGATGTCACCAAGAGTCTCCAACCATTGGTTACGATAGTCACGCGGACCCCAACCAAGTAGTCTGCATCTACCGACATGGCTCACACTAGAAGTTGGTGACTTCAAGCACTGATGCCACGTTTTGGTTTGGCCGCCCCTAACTTTCTTCCAACCATCCCCTACCCCGGTTAGCATTGCACGTCGTGGTAATCGGTGTTCAGGCATACGTAACACGTGGCCCAACAATCTCAGTCGATGAAGATTAACAAACTCGTCAACTGATTTACCATCATTCCCTAATACCCTGCGTCTAACCTCACTATTACTTACCCGGTGATCCCAGCAGACGCCAGCAATATTTCTGAGGCATCTGTGGTCAAATACTAGTAGCTTACGAGTGTCTTCTACTCTTAATGGCCATGTTTCGCTGCCGTAAATTAAAACAGAACGAACTGCCGCGCAGTATACCCGTCCTTTTATTGATAGACGGATATCTCGCCTTCGCCACAGGTGACGTAAGTTGGCAAAAGCCAAACGAGCTTTTCGAATCTGCGCTGAGATTTCGTCCGATACCAACCCATTAGGGCTGATCAGACTTCCAAGATAAGTGAAGTTGTCAACGCGTTCGACTACTTCACTCCCTATCCTTAGTTCAGGTGTTAACGCAGACCAGTAATGAAGCAACAACTTGCATTTAGAGGGAGAGAAGCGCATTCCAAACATTCTGGCATTGTTGCTCAGTGCTACCAGAAGACTCTGCATTTTGTCAGCGTCTTCACCAAACAGGACTATGTCATCTGCGTATTCTAAGTCGATAAGTGGACCTCCTGGATGGAGATCAATACCCGAGAATTCAGTCGACGAGAAAGTTATTTCCATCAAAAATGGAGATAGTTGACAGCCTTGACGGACACCACTTGAGGTTGCAAAAGCAGATGACAGTTCGCCATAAGCTCTCACTCGACTAGTAGTGTTCGAGTAAAGAGCCTTTACAAGGTTTATGCACTTCTGAGGTACGCCTTTCACTGGCAGACACTGCCACAGAATCTCGCGATCTACAGAGTCAAATGCTGCTTTTAAGTCGAGAAAGACCACCATTGTCGGACGCCGATAAGTATGCCTGTGTTCTAGAATCTGACGAATGGTGAATATGTGGTCGATGCAGCCACGACCAGGTCTGAAGCCAGCTTGAGTCTCTCGTGTTTGCAGTTCACGAGTCTTAGTTAGGCGTCTCATAATTATCGAGGCTAGTATTTTAGATATTATATTAGTTAAACTAATCCCTCTGTGGTTGTCACAGGATGATTTTGACCCTTTCTTGTATATTGGGACGATAAGTGATTGTGACCAGTTAGATGGGATAACGTCTATCTCCCAGATCTTAGCTAAAATATTAGTCAACCTAAGCGCTAAAATTGGACCACCATTATTAAAGACCTCTGGAGCCAGTCTATCTGGACCAGCTGCCCTTCCTCGTTTCAGATTAACTATAGCCTTTTGAACTTCAGCAAGAGTTAGGGGACCTACTTCAATGTTCCATTCACGCTGTCTGGGAATGGAGGGTAGTTGTAGAGTAGCTGAAGGCCAGTTGAACTGTTCTCTGAAATGTTACACCCATCGTTCTAAACGTCTGGACTGGGAGCAGATGAGAGTATCGTCTTTTTCCTATATAATCTCACTTACACTTGACTTATTAATTCCAGTTCCTTTTATTAGTCTGTAAAGCTGTCTTGTGTTCCCTATAGTCGCCGCCTTTTCCATCTCTTTTGCTTTCATTGCCCACCACTGCTCACGGTCGTTTCTTAGACTTTTTCTTAACCTAGATCTGATTTGTTGTCGCTCTTCATCATGTTCGGAACCTGATGGGACGAGTTTGCGAAAATCCATCAGTGTGATAGACTTTGAAGAAATCCAATGGTTCTTTGTAGCTCTGTGGTTTACGTCGCTAATAGATGTCACTGCTGTTTCCACAGCTGCTTGTATAGCTTTCCAAGCAACATCTGGGTCAGCCTCGTCTTCAGAACTACCTAATTGTGAACTCAGTTGTTCCTGGAACCTATTTTAGGTTTTCTCGTTACTCAATTCAGTTCTAATGGGTCTTTTTAATGTGGCTTTTTTGCGTCCAGTGAAGCGCAAGCAGATGCGTGCCCGTATTAGGGCGTGGTCGGAGTTCAAGCAGGTACTCCAGAATGAGCGACAATCTTCTACCGACCCTCTCCAACGATGACTGACGGCAATATAGTCTATTTGAGTCCATCGTTGGTTTGGTGTAGGGGGTCGCCATGTTAGACGATGTCTCTCCTTATGCCTTAAATTTGTGTTTACTAAAAATAAGCGATTGTCTGAGCACAGTTGCAGCAGACGGTCACCATTATCTGTTCGCTGTGCTGGAATGCTAAAATATCCACCTAAATGCCTTTCTGTTTGGTTTAAACTACCTATCTGAGCATTAAAGTCACCCCCTATGAGTACTATGTCTGAGCGTTTAGCTTTCTGAAGAAGTTCAGAAAGCATTCTGTAAAAGTTATCTTTCACTTCATCCAGGCCGCAGTCAGTGAGGGCGTAGGCAGAAACGACGAAAAGGCAACGACGCGTGTCCCTATCCTTCCGAGTTCTTACGGAGCCGTTTAGCCGAACAGCACATAGACGACTGTTGACGGGGATCCACTCTAGCAGTGCTTGTTCCGCCCTCATGCTTAGTGCTATACCTACACCTGTCAGTCCACGAGAACTGGCCATAGGGTCACCAGATACACGTAGAGTGTATCTCGTTGGTTCTCCGTTTTGCCGAGGTGAGGTCAAGTGAATGACCACACTGGAATCCTGTATGCGTGTTTCGGAGACACAGCATACATCAATGGAAAGAGACTCTAGGGTTTTAGCCAAGGAAGCCTGCTGACCGATTTGACATAGGGTGCGTACGTTGAAGGCTCCAATGTGTAGTTTGGAGCGAGGTTTCAGTAGACCTGGGACAGAGTTTTGAGCACTAGAATCGTTGGCTATGGTGACACTTGAGGAGGAAGCCGAAAGAGGAAGTTTGGAGTTGAAAGTCGATGTAGGAGGAACAATAGGAATTGAAGAGGGAGGTTGATTATGAATACAGTGATCTTGGGTGTTGTTAGAGGTATGAGGGCAGTTATCAGTTCCCGGTTGCCCACACCGAGGAAGGGTTCTTCTGGAGGTACCTGAAAAGGAAATTGGATTAGAGGCGGTCTCAGTGACCTGAGAGCGTGACCGCAGAGCCCAAGGGACAACTGCTTGAGGCCGGTCGCGCACGGCCTTTTCGTGGGAGGTTTTTGACGTGTTAGCTCAGTTCTTCAAAGGGCCTTACCGCCGGAGACGGAAATCCGTGAGGTAAGGTGAGGTGTGACATTTTTAGGGTCGACCTTTTCTAGCCCCACCCCTCCTTGTGGGAAGGCAGCATCGCTGTCATGCTGGTTGTCTGAAGGAAACACCTTACTGCTGTCACACCTCTGTACAGTCAGCAGTACGACTTCGCCTTCGGACCTTGGGTTTGTTGCTTTTAGTCTTACCGCTCTTCAACCGACCTGTCTTACATGGTAGGACCTTGAGGAACGGTTGTTCCAGCCAGTATAGCTCGGTTGCTTCATCACAATAGGCAAGCCCGACCACCACGTCAAGGTAGCAACAACGGTGCGGACAAATCCCTTCAAGTCCTACAGAAGTACTTTGGAGTTAGAAGGAGCAAAGTGCATGTCATACCTACAGAAATTGGTTGCAAACTGACTGAGATATGGATATGTCGAGTATCATCGCACAGTAAGACAATATAATGCAAATACTAAAGAACGAAGCCTTCTTTCAAATGACAGACCTACACCACAAATACCCACTTCCATCAGAATTGTTTCCAGAATATTATCGATGGAAAATTGAAGGAGAGTGAAGAGATTGAGCAACTGTGCGTAACCTTACTGCTCGGGTGGAACAATAAAGATAGGTGGTTATGTGCTCTCATCCTGGGTGAGGTGTTTGTGTACAAAGCTTTCAAGCTGCTAGTAAACTTTGAAAACATATCATTCTAACGAATAACGCAGAACACAGTCCTGTTCAATGAATTATATGTGAAAAACGACACTGCAAGAAGCGAAAGCAGTGCATCTATTCTCATCTCCCAGTGTCGATATCAAAGGCCCTTAGTATTCAGTTAGCATTGAATTAGACGAAAGTTGGATAGTTGCATTTGAATTTGAATATAAAAGAATGTCTAGAAGTCCATGTAAACCTTTAACATGTACACTAGTCTCGGTATTACTCGGTGCTTTTGAAGCTGATAAGTAGTAACAGGAAGCTCGATGGAATCGATTTTCTATTGCAGAACAGATGTGAACGAGCAACGCAAAAGCTTGCACAGGAGTGTGAGACACAGGTTATCGCATTCAACACTGAAAAATTAAGGAACTAAGAACATCCTAGATGTAATAATAGATATTTGAACGAAAATTAGGAACTTACTTTTATCAACGGGTATGATCTGGGAGTCATTTGAGTATGACTAGGTACCCGAACGCAGTGAGGAGGCAAGGATGGTCGTGAAACATTAGGAGCCTCATACCATTTACTTGAGCTAGTTGGGACAGTACTCATACCAGAAAATGCTGTGATCTGATGGTTAACGTCTTTATCTACTGTGCCATGGTTAAGTACACGTCTGATTTTCGAAAAAGGCTGACTAGTTTCGACAAGCGAAGGAGGCCTTTTCCGTATGATATTTGGCATGTGAGTAATTCCAGACATTGTAAGACCATTATCAGAAGGCTTCTTTAACAACTGACTAGCCATTCGAGGAGGATATGCTTGCTGAACTGGTGAATTGCTGCCATTTCCTGATGGAACAACCCTCAGTATGGTAGTACCTTGAGCATTGAGAACTTTGACGTTTGGATTCACAGTAACTGAAACTGAAGGAGTATTAGAGTAAACTTCTTGAGGTTTTAAAGAGGATGGAGCAATCCCAGCATTTATGAGAGCACTGAGAATGATGTCATTTTGAGAAGCACTAGGAGCTTCTTCTGAAGCCTTCTGAGTATTTTGTATGGAAGGTAATTGTGGATTGTCGGGATACGTGATGTAAGATTCAGGTTTTAGAAAGTCACTAGAACCATTAACTGACGTTTGTAGACTGTCACATGGTTTAGCATTTCCGTTATCGAAATCCTTAGTTGCAAGACCTTTAAGTGCATCCTCAAAAATGGAGGCAGGATCCATATCGCTAAAAAACAAGAACAATAATTAATTCAGAAACGAACAACACACCGACGAGTTCATAAGACACTCATGATTATCATCATGTCACTTTGTATCAATACTATGCAATGATTAACTGTCAATAAGTTATCTATGATAAAGCTCTGCTTAGCACTACTCGAACGTATGCAGTTTGTTCGAAGTCCTACAAATTTACATAGTTAATTAAACAGGGGCCGACGACCGCAATGGATAAGAGCAACTTGAAACTAAACTTTGTAACCCATTAAAATTTAAATGACATGTATTTCCATGACATTACCAAACGGCGGTTATTTTTTAGCATGAGTTGATGCATTCATGATAAGCGTTCTTAGCCAGTATCAGGAAAAAGCATACTCGAAGAACGGTGTCCAGTCAACAGGACTTTCGTTTCGACACTCTGGTTAGACAAAACTAGCAAAATAGAGGAGTGAGGAAATATTATTGGTAACTTCATGATGGCTACAGGAAAAATTTCACAACGGGTCTGTTTTAATTAATGTTAAAATAGTAACCTATTGCCATAGAGCGAACGGGATGGAACAATTAACTTTACTTGCTGATGAGGTATTAATGTAACTGACAAGTTATCTCAGGTAGGATAAACTGTTAGTTTTGAAATATTCGTCTGTCGTACAAGGAAAAAACAACTCCCTGGATGTTATTCTTATTCCGTCGGTCTTAACTTTGTTCCTGAAACATCTTAACATCAAATAATAACTATATCCAATTTTTTGCCGATCACAACCAGGATTCAAATTATTCTGAATCAATAACAAACTATGATTCTACTCCTTTTAGAACTCGTTGCTAGAACGTACCATTTCAGTGCATTTTCGATTGGCGTGAGAGGAATTTGAAACCACAAAACGTCAATGATTTATCAACTAGCTGACGACAGACTGTTAAAGAATTATAGTCATCTTCGGTGACCCGAAAGTGGATGTACTTAACCAAACTTTAGGGATTGAATATTTGGGATTAAACAAGACAGTAAAAAATTAGCTTTGAAGGGAATAGGCAGTTGTAAACAATACCATACGAGATCGTCGTGGAGGAGAAGCCAACTCACGAACTACCAAGACAAGACCAATGGTAAGATTTGAGTTTTAAACCCATGTCAATCGCTGTTGACTTACCGTTGGCCATGCGTCACAAGGGATGTAACAAGAATCCAGATCGAGTACAAACAGATGTTGCACATATAATCTGTAAACTTTTAGTACCATGGCTGCGGCTTTTAAACGTAGAGTAAGGCAAAAGGAAACTACAAGTGGTAAGCGATCAAACGGATCACCGAGTCGCAAGTCTGTCATGTTGATCTGGCACAAATACTGTCATACAACCAAAGTGAAATGGTATCTCGAAATAACAGCAATGCCAGAGAGGAATGAAGCAGCATATTGTCAACGCTCAAAGTTAACTGGACATCCGTTGCATACGCCCTACCACCTCCTACCTTGGAGAGCGATATTTGTTATATGAGTAGGGTGAAAGCTGGGAGCGACCAAACGAGGACAGCATCAGCCTGTCACTGACTTTTCGGCTGTCATGTAAGTAGGCATAGACAAACATGTTGCGATTTTCGCGAGTCGTAACCGACGAGTTAAGACTTTGAGTAGCATGGCTCGAAATCGTCAAAAATGGTAAAGGCGGGCCTATTCTTCATGTCCTCAGACCCTGAATACTGAAATTTACTTTCTTGGTTTGTACCTCTTCTGTTGCTATTGAAAGTTATCACTTGTACTACTCTGGGACTTATATGATAATATTATCTCACGATGCTGATGTAGTGTGATAACTCGAATCGAGACACACTAGGTTTTACGATATCTATGACTGAGTCAGTACTAAGGTAGGTGAAAGCATGTAGTGACTGCATATCACTGAGTTTGATCATCCTATTGCACACTTCTACCATGCGATCATGACCACTGCAGGGACAGAGAACAGGGATGATAACACAACCGTAGACTACACCAAGTTCGGAGAAAATCACTCTGTCAGCTTGCCAAACCATGGTCCGTATAGTCGGAATACTTAGCGTTACGAAGTCACTAGTGGCAAAGACAAAAGACAGAGTATTGTACTGTGTGTTGTCAAGTCACATGGCAAAAATGAAAGCTATGTGAGGTGATTAGGTTGTTACTTGTCTGGTTGCCTGGAGTATCTGGATTAACCCATAGACCTACTGGCGTGGACCAACATTAAGACGTCTAACAATAGAAAGCCTCGAAGCACACTGCGGATACTTAGTGCACAAGGCACTTTGATGGGACGGACAGGCAGTCTGAACTTAGGTTGTCCATAGATGTCAGATTTTAAGCTATATTTAGCATGTGGTACGAATACAGTAATCACAGTTTAATTTATATCCCGGTTCAAACACTAATCAACTCCTAACGAAGCTTATGTTGCAAATGCTATTATTCATTCTTCACAGACACTCACACTCGCATTTCACGAAAGGTAGACTGTCAAGACCATACGTGAGCCTTGCCGCCACCTGCGATGAGCTAAGTCATTGTATGGCTACTCAACATTTTATTTGTTAAAACAAATTCACGATGCATGACGACAAATAGTAGCAAAAAAGCAAACCGCGAATAGAATATTGTTAATTTTTTTAAATACTTGATCATTTCTGATGCTTTGTTCTTGATTCTGCAAAAGAACTCAAACCTTCGATTTTTGTATAAAATTAGTTCTATAAGATTTCTATGCCTCATGAAGAGTATAAGCCCCAAGCCTTCACGTCTTCAGTGTCAGTAGTAACGAAAGAAGTGTACCATTCTTGAAATCTGTGGACGAGGATCTCTGAGAATGTCGTTTACTGTTATTGTGTTAATTATTTGTGACCAATTTCGTAATGTGGATAAATCCGCATCACCAAGTTTGTAAATAAGTGTACATTTAACCAAGTTCAAAGTGAATTTTTATTGTTCACCATCTCGGGCAGAACTTACTTTGATGGAGCACCTGATTGTTCGAATCACCTTCTACAATACGAATCAAGAGTTTCTGTTAAGTGGGAAAGATGCTTGATTTTCGACTATCTCTTTACTTCTCATCTCCCCCGCCCCACCAACATCTCTAACGAACAATCTATTCCTGGTTTGTATAAATCCATTGTTTTTACACGTCCAAATTCACCAACATGAACATTGATTGTTATGGCTAATGACAGTTCCTTCGACGTTGATTTGTCGACAAGGAGTACTGCAGCTTTATTCTATGAACGACTGCAATTACTGATCCGTTTATACCGTTTATGGACAGTAATTACGTTCTTCTTAATCCGCCTTTACCAAAACACTTCTGGAACGTATCACAAATGTTTCCATCCTCTAGCTGTATAGACACGACTAAATGCAATTTATAGGGTGTCAAAGAGGCTTATTTAAATATCTGAAGTGGAAGAAGAAATCCGTTATTTTAAACTTTTCGATAAATTTTTGACACTACACATATATAAATTAAGCTCTTTCGCTATGACTTTTTCAAATTATCATTAATTATAGAAAACGAATGTAGTATTTAGAAAGCCAATGATCGTTCATGAATGCTTTTATCATCTATGAAAGCCATTGATTTCAATCCATTCTTTATGCACTTTTGGTGTTATTTTGGGAGTGAGCTTTTCTGATATTTGAACAGATATTTTGTCCCTAAACAAGTGACTGTTAGTGTTGCCTCGCCAAGTACTTTGGCTGATGCCCTAAAATGCCCTGGTATGGCCGAGAGCGTGGTGGGTTGTTGTTTACGAAAATTAGAGGACGAAAAGTGAGCGTCCAGCTCTTTAACCGGATTCCAAACCAATGGTGCACATGGGCTACAGTATCCTGAGGGAACAAATGGCGTATGAACCAATCGTTGTTCACCGGCTACCATGGGACTTCATCTCCTTACGATGCTCCACTGCCTTATGGGTTAGACCTTTAGGTCAAAGGCTCGGGCTGTGGTCTCCTAAGAAAACCTCTTGCTTCGGTTTCGGCACTCGGAGATTATCGCTGCCGACACACAAATAATGAACTGAACTGCCTATGGCTATGGACATTAATTCTTTTGCTTCAACTAACATTCAAATGATTCAATTACAACTATCAATACTATTGTTATCATTATTATTATTGTTATTTACTACGCCCATTTTTATTCCCACTTTATGTATCCTTATTTTTCGACTTATACAGCAGATCGCCTATGGTGGAAATTCGACTCTATCTAAACGCTCTCGAGTCACTGTCAGGTAGAAAATTGTATTTTACCACCGAATATGAGTACTGGAGCAGTTTTTCTGAAGCCGCGTGCACCATTCAAACTGGCTGCCTTCAACGTTCGCACATTTATGCAGGTCGGACAACAGATAGGGCTGGCTATGTCTTTGGAAAGTCTTCATATCGATGTCTGTTGTCTATTCGAGACCCTTATTTAAGACTCTGGTGAAGTAATACAAATTCGCTCTACATCTGTCGCTTCAAAAAGATGGTCTTACGTGCGCTTATTCGGGGACACTGTGGCATCTTCATCTGGTCTTGCTGGCGTTGGAGTCGCACTAAGCGCTAGAGTTGAGGCAGCACTAGTCGATCGGATCCCCATTAACAGTCGGTTATGTGTTGTTAGATTAGAAAGTTCCATCAAAGTGAGAAGAAATCGGCGTGAGAAACGATGTCTTTTCGTCATCTCCGCCTATGCCCCGACAGATTGCAGCCCGGATGCAATCAAGGATGAGCTTTACCACCAGTTATATGTTCTCCAGAAAGTGCGTTCGACAGATATTGTAGTAATAGCCGGGGACTTGAATGCTCATGTCGGGCGTCTAGGCACAGAAGAGAGTCGTTTAGGTGGCCGATGGGGACTCGTTGGTCGCAGGTCAGATAACGGGGACCGTCTACTGCAACTCTGCACAGACCATAACCTGTTTTGGCTAGCACTAACTTTCGGCACAGTCATCGCCGATGTGCCACCTGGTGTCCTCCCTCTGCATACCAAGCATGGACTCAGAGTGATCACGTTGCGATCAGCTACCGCTGGCGTGGTTGTGTAAAAGACTGCCGCTCCTTTTGGAGTACCTATCTGGACTCTGAACATGCCTCGGTCTGCGCCAATCTTAACTTACTTTTCAGTGGACAACGAATTGATCGTCAGAAGCGGATTGATGTCAGTAAGTTGTTTGCAACTTCTGTTTCAAGTAAGTATCGAACCGAGCTAGCTTTTAGGCTAGTAACCATCCCACCGAAAAGTATAGATGAGCACGAAGCCATGAAAATGGCGAGTAAAGCCGCATGCGGCTTTGAGAAGCGTCCCACTTATAAGCACTGGAATTTTTTAGTCTTCTTACAATTCATCGAAGCCCGTCGGTCTTCTCCGGATGACCGTGACTTTGACCACAAACGAAACATGTTACGTAATGAAATTGGGCAAAGCTTGCGTAAGGACCGAGAAGCCTGGTGGTCGAAGCGTGCTAATTATTTGGACGCAGCAGCTGCATCTGGTAACTACCGGAAGCTCTTCCAACTCATCCGAGCCACTGGCAGCAAGAAGTCTGGTGTGAGCGAAACAATCTGCGAGGATGATGAGATGCCAATCACCAACATCCGTCGACGTCTTGGACGATGGGCAGAATTTTTCGAAGGGCAGTTCAACTGGCCTGCTGCTCCGGCAACATCGGTCAGACTGTCCTGCGCTCCATGACCGGTGACGACTGATCCACCAAATGAGGCGAAACTCCGCAAGGAACTCCAACTCTTTAAGCGTTACAAATCACCTGACCCAGATGACTTACCTCCGGCTCTTTTTAAAGATGGTGGTGACTTTCTGACTAAGGAGTTGACGACGTTGTTTACAAAGGTTTGGGAAGTAGAGAGTGTACCAACGTCATGGAATGAGTCGATAGTTGTCCCTATCTCTGAAAAGGGTTCACGTCGTTCCTGTAACAATTATCAGGGGGTAAGTCAACTTCCGATTGCGTCCAAGCTATTGGCTTCCGTCATACTTCGTAGGTTGTTCAAAACTCGAGAAAGATTGACTCGCGAGGAGCAGGCTGGGTTTCGTTCTGGTCGAGGTCGTCAACGTCTCGAAGTTTACTGTAGACTGCTGTAGCACGTTCATTTCTAGCTTAAATAAAGCATCTGCCGCCTGATTGTCCTGACCTTTGACATGTCGGATATCGCTTGTGAACTGTGATATATAGTCAAGTTGTCGGACTTCTCGAGGTGAGTATTTATCAGCTCTCGCTCTTAGCGCATTCGTTAGTGGTTTGTGATCCGTAAAGACTATGAATTCCCTGCCTTCTAACATGTGTCGGAAGTGTTTAATGGTTAGGTAGATTGCAAGAAGTTCTCGCACGAAGGTAGAATACCTTGTCTCTGCTGGAGCGAGTCTTTTTGAGAAGAAAGCAATTGGTTTCCAGGCGTTTGTAACCAGTTGGTTAAGGGTACCGCCTACTGCTTTATCTGAAGCATCCACCATCAAAGCAAGTGGGGAAAGAGAATTCGGATACATCAACGTAGTTGCTTGAGCTAATTTATCTTTAAGCTGTTTAATAGCTTCGACGGCGTCGGAAGACAGTTTGAATTCTTTTGGTTTTCCTTTGAGTGAATCTGTCAAAGTTTGCCTTAATTGTGCACAACCTGGTATGAATCTGCGATAAAAGTTAATTAGGCCTAGAAAACTTCTCAGTTGTGTTAGAGAACTAGGCACGGGGTATTGTTTGATGGTATCCACTTCTTTTTTGATAGGTTTAATCCCTTCTGGGCTTATTGTGTGACCGAGAAATTCTAAAGTTTGGACACCGAAAACACACTTACTTTGATGTATGTTTATTCCATGTTCATCCAGTCTTTTCAACACTGCTTGTACATGCTGTTCGTGTGATTGCAAATCGGGGCTGGCAATTAACAAGTCGTCTATATACCCTTGCGCAATTGGCATATCTCGAAGTAAGTTATCTATGAATCTTTGAAATGTCTGTGACGCATTTCTCAGGACGAATGGCATGCGTGCAAACTCGAATAAGCCAAAGGGTGTAGTAATAGCTGTCTTGGGGATATCTTCATCAGCCACTGGGATATTGTGATATGCCCTGACTAAGTCAATTTTAGTGAATATGTTCATACCCTGTAAACCGTTCGTGAAATCTTGGATATGCGGTATTGGGTACCTATCTGGTACGGTTTGACGGTTGAGGGCTCTGTAATCCCCGCACTGTCGCCAGTCACCTCCATTCTTCTTTGGGACCATATGCAAAGGGGATGCCCATTGACTATCAGAGGGACGGATAATACCCAGTTGTAGCATATAATCAAACTCGGCCCTAGCAATTTTGAGCTTATCTCCTGGGTTTTGCAAACACCGATGCACCTTCGGTTTTGATAGTGTGACTTACTTTTAGTTTGTCTTTGGAAGGCTGTGGGTTTGGTTTAGTTAAGTTTGGAAATTCCGCGAGTATATCTTGGAATTTCGCTGTTGTTACTGGAGGAGTTTGAATAAAGTTAAGAGAGCTGATGTGACTTTCTT